AAGTGGCAGCTCTACAGTGGCTTTCCCCCTTCATTTCACCCAACCAAACGGACCCTTGGGAGCACGTTAGACAAGTTTCCTTCGATAGATCCTAGACTTCAGTGACCCGTATGGTTTGCAGTTTAGGGAACTTCCAATATTATCTGGTCCCACTGCCAGCCGGTTTTCTGTTATCTTATAGAATATAATTTCATATATACTATTAGTTGTGTTGCATGAAGTTATATTCTTTACGAACTTGTTAAATTTAGCAAAACCAAAGAGATTATAATGATCTTATTTGTTTATCCCCAATTGCTTTACTACTGATTCTTTCAGTATAGTTTCTTTCAACTGTCTGCATCAAAAAAATCAGCTCCTTATTTCTTTTCATCTAGCAACTATATTGATAAATTTAACAAAAAAATCAGTATAGTTTAAGAACTTTGGCAATACATTATGTGAACCTATGTTTGACGAACTGTTCATTGTGATAATCTTCAAGGTTGACCTGGTTATATCATAGATCACAATTTTAAGTCAAAATTTCTTAGGTCTGAATACAATTTGTAATTATATTATGTTTCCTCCTTGCTGATGGTCACTGATGTTTCGATATAACCGAAAATGATCCTTGCTGTTTTGTTCCTTAGGTACCACTTTTTCAAAGAGATTTACCTGGTTTAGTATTTTGCTCGATTTGCAGGCGGGATAATGTACAGTTCGTGCCAATTTGAGGAGGAAGATGCAAAGGTGCCTCTTTTCTCGTGTAGATTCGATGTTAGCCTAACTGGAGACACTGCAGTTGGAATTTTGTTATACTTCTTTGTACTTAAAACGAAACAGCACAACAGTTAGATCTCTTTTCTTATTTATTCTTTTGATAATTCATGAATGTATGTATTTGTAGACACCCAATATGGAAACATAATCATCCTTTTCTACTACACAACAGTCTCAACAAAGCCCTTCTCTTATCTTCCCACGATCACAGTTCTTTGACATTGAAATTCGCAGGGCATTCTTCAGCAAGGATGCTGGCAAACCAAGGCTCAGAGTAGCCGTCATCAAACCCGTAGACGCCATCGACACTGTTTGAATAGAAAGAAAAAGAGGTTCAGCGTGAGAACCTCCCACCCTTTCCCCGTATAAAAGGAAGTAGTAGGTAGTAAATCATCAGAGAGGAGAAGTTCCAGACTTTGGAAGCCTGTCGCAGTTCACTCGAGCCCAGCCGATTTGTTGCTTCTCGTTGTCGTAGACCACCATTACATCCTGCATCGAGATATCTGCAAACATTTCAGATGAAATTAGTTTGGTTGGTTCTGACAAATTTTTTCGAAGTAGCGGATTCATTGTATCTACCTCCGATTATGTTGAGATCCTTGAGTCCTACTTGGGTTCCGTTGAGTATCCCCAAGCATGCATTGCCATGTTTCTGCAATCAAAAGCAGCTACTAATTCTTTTCTTGGGTGAAGTGCGTATATACCTCCTATCCCTTCATCACTGGGGACTAGATATTCACTACTTCTGAACCTTTATATTACCATTTAGATCTGCTGGTGTCTAAATGGAGTTATATATTTTAATGGGGAGCGTTGTTTTAGAATCGATTAGAGAATAGGGGGCCTAAGATTTGATAAAACAGTAACTTTGGGAGTAAAAAAAATAGAGTGGCAAATGGGTGTTGGTAATAGGAGTGCATAAACATTTCTTTCCTTTTATCACGTAAAAAGATCGAAAGGGACGGAATGCTCACCGTAACGATCAGATAGTTCTCTGGGGGTATCTCCATCTGAGCCGCTTTCCTCCCGTTCACAAAGTTCAGAACTAAACTCTTGAAAAACTTCTTCACATCCAGTAGAGACTTGAACGGCTTGGCTCCCTTCCAGCAGATTGGAAGCGCGGGGTCCTCGACTGCCTCTTTCAGTGGCTTCTTGCGTAAATCATTCTTCAACTGTTACAGTCACAATTTCTATTTTGCATTAGTTTCTCTGCTAAAATTAAAGAAAAGGGGAAAAAAATTCTAATCTCAGCTACAGGAAAAATTAGATTTTTTTTTTTTACCGCCGTGAGGAATGCTTGATATGGCTGATTCGTGAAGTAAGTGTGTCGAAGACTACAGGCTGTTCTTTGATACCCAAAGACCGCCTGTCGAAGTAAAAGCTCGCTTTTCCTGGTGAGTAGTAGTTCCTAAAAATTGAATCATAGTAAGTAGCGTAGACACAAAATGTATGAGCAAAAAAAAGCGATACAATTTCTTTTGATATTTGCGTTGTTTTCATTATTTACTTCTCGCTCTAAACTGACATCATTGGTATAATAAATTACGTTTTATAACGCCTTCTAAATCTCAAAAAAGTAAATGCCTTAGGGACCCAAAAACATGAGACCCTATATGGGACATGTGAGATGTCGGCTTCCTGTCCCATGATACGCTGTTCATGAACAGCACATCATGGGACAGAAAGCCGACACCTCACCTGTCCCATATAGGGCCCCATATTTTTGGGTCCCTATAACTACAACACCACCCCTCGGAAAAGTACAAGCATAATTTTTGCAATTAACCCTTATTGTTTGTTTGTTCGTTCGTTTTTTTTTAATTTTTTACCGGAGTGTGATGCGAGACATTGGAGCCCAAGTTACACCATAGGAAGGGACGAGATCGTCACCGAAGAAAAGATAGCCTCCTCCTCTCCTGCTCAGGCAATGGCCGAGCACGTTTTTGATCACTCCCTGCGCTTTTAATTGCGACATTATGCTCGCCTCTCCGGTTCCGAGCCCGAGAACACCGTCGGTTGGCGACGGGGCGCTCACGCCTGCGCCTTGCTGGTCGTATCCGCACCTAAAACGAGACAAAAAATATGTATATATTTTTTTATAAGGTTCGGAATCATCCAAATCTCTCTTTTCTCTTTTTCGTTTTAAAAAGACTTGTACTTTTACACAGTCAAGAGTTGTCTGTGGGACCCGCACAAGGGTCATTGTAGTTGGTAACGGTGTACTCTTGCACGTGCCAGACGCAACAAAGTCATCAGCTTCTCATTAGTTTTAATTAAAGTTCCTATATCAAACTATATAAAAGATAAAAGACTTGAGTTAATCAATCAAACACCACAACATTTAATTAATTAATTAATTAATTAACTAATTAATTCGCACACATTTGCTAGAGCGAAGAGCTGGGAATTTCACCCGAATGCGAGCTGAGGATGAACCAGCGAAGTGTTGGCAAGCCTAAGAGCGACCGCATCCGATACAAGAACGCCGAGGCTCGACCACTGATCGGCGTACTGTATCTCGTAATCGCACTGATCCAGGGACTCGCACTCCTGATTCTGATGCGTCGACGCGTGCAGCGCCGCGCACAGCGGATCCTTGCACGGTACCAGACTGTTCTTTCTCGGCCGATACAACGGATGCGGTACCTAACGAAAAAAATTATGTTAAGAAGGCTAAGTATCATAAAACCCCCTTTACCTTCGGATAATTAGCAGAAAACCCCCTCAATTATAAGGACTGTCATAAAACCCCTTTAATTTTATCAGAAAACCCCCTTTAGCTTTGAGATTTTATCAAAAACCCCTCTAATTGAAAGTATGGAAGTTTAAGGGGGATTTGTGATAATCCTTATAGTTAAAAAGGAGGGTTTTCTGATATTTTGAAAGTTCGGGGGGTTTTCCCATTAATCGTCCAGAATTAAGGGGGTTCGATGATGTTTTCCCGATAAAAAAAATGTTTTGCATAACAGCAAGAAACGTATGCAAATTGGAATTTTGTGCGACAAAATTTGGACTCCATCTAACAAATCTTTCAGTGCCATTTGAATTTTTCTTCTCCTTCAAATGTACCGTGCGCTCGAAATAAAATAATGAAAAACATTAGAGGCACACCCTTGGGCACATTCTCAGTCACACCCCCTCACCTGTTACAGAACAGAAGGTTCCACATGAGATTTTTTAAAAAATACAGCTCCTGTACTGTAGCAGGTGAAGGAGTGTGGCTGAGAATATGCGTAAGGGTGTGTCTCTAGTACCTCCCTAAAATAATCCATCTATTTCTATATTAAATCAATTGGGGAGAAAAGAAGAAGAAAAAAAAAACAATTTGTCAATATAGCGCACACATCCAAAATAAATTCCTGAAAGGCGACGCAACCAAATGCATTGAAGCTAAAAGGTAACGGGATTTAGAAGTGCATCTCTGAGCAAATTTGAACACAAGGATACCGCACTTAGAAATTCTAAGAAAATTATGAAAATTTTCAAGGATTTTTTGAATCGATTTCTTAAATCGTACCTTGGAGCAACTAACACAAGGAGCATCGCATTGAAGCCACGTCAGATCGCTCCCAGTATCCACATCAAGAAAATAGGGCTTCGGCGGATCACCAATGCTCATCGATACATAATACAACCTACGGAGGAAAAAAAAATAATCCCCCCAATTTCCCCCCAAAATTAATCAAATAAAAAAATCAAATCTCGAAAAGCTCAAATTTCGAATCTCAATCTCTCACCCGTGAGGGTACACGTCGCCGTAGATCGGAAACACGGCCGACGACGGCGGTTTCTTGACGGCGTCAAGGTCGTCGGCGAAACATGACGGCGGAGGCGGCGGAGGCGATTTCGATTTTTTGGACGGCGAGCTGGCGCCGGGCGGCTGCTGAGGAGAAGGGGATGATGAGGAGGGAGGTGACGAGAAGCAGGGCCAGGGGGATGAGCCTGGCCATGGAGGACACGTGGAGGGAGATTAAGTGGGACAAGTAAGCAGAGGGAGGTGAGATTAAGGGGTTTTGGGGTGTGGTGCTCCGCCGGTGAGAGAGAGAGAGAGAGGAGGAGGAGGAGCGATGAGAACTAGGAAGACCGAGATGGTTTAATTAAGACAGCGGAGTCGTCGCGCTCGTCTATTTGTAGTCTCGAGTAGGACGGATATTTGCGAGTTAGCCCACTTCCATTTTGTTAATTGCATATAGAATTTTATGCATCGTTGATAATTACTAATCCGTCCTTAAATGTGTTTTTTCCCCTTACCTTCTCCTAAGAAGTCATTTAAAACTCATGATTTTTAGTAATCGAGAGAAGATTTTATCAGAGGACTAACATGTGGTAGCCAGTAAAACATAATTAGATATCACCTAATAAAAAAATTTAGTTGGATATTCGATTATCAAGCACCTTGAAGGAGTTTGATGAGAGAAGCAAGAAAGGTACATAAATTAACATGTTAAAGCAGCAAATAATCAATTAAAAAGGGCTATCAATTAAAAAAAGTTAATACATAGTCTTCTGCTGTAAGTTTCATGAAATTGCTTCGAAAAGGTTAAAAAATGAGAGAAGCTTCCATGAGAAGGAACTACAAAAGGGCTTTTTTTTACCTTTGGTAGATTCAAAATTTTACCTTAGCGAAGGAAACATAGAAAATCAGTGAACAGCCCAGGAAAACAGAGTTGAGTAAATATTAAAAATATGAACAATTTTTCAAAACAGCTCCATTTTGTTTTTTAATTTTTAAATTTGACTATTTTTTTATTTACCAAAATCGACCCGTTTTTTATCACGTCAGCTTAATCATTTTTTTAAACAGTCGAGGTTGCTAACCCCGACTATTTAGGAGGGTGTTAACCCCTAATTAGAAGCCTTAAACCCTAAAAAAGTATGTTCTAAATAGTCGGGGTTGACAACCCCGACTGTTTAGGAAAGTGATTAGTTTGACGGGTCGGTTTTGATAAATAAAAAAAGATCGATTTTAAAAATTTAAAAAAAATAGGGCAGTTTTGAAAAATTGTTCTAAAAATATTGTCCCTTATATCATAAGTGGGTCCACACGTACGGCAAAAGGGATAACATTTTGTTTTTTCCAAATGTAACTTTAAACAATATTATTGCTTTAGATTAACCCGTAACTAGATGATAGGGGATCCTTGAGAAATTATTTAAATAATGATCGCTATACTATTAAACCGTAATGTGTTTGCTTTATTTGCATTTGATGTTGGATGAAATTTATAAAAAAAAAAGCAAAGATACATGATGTCTGTCTTATATTTGATTCCACAAATTTTGCCGAAAGTTTATAACAGTTTCATAATTAAAACATAAAGCTTAAATTGCAAAATATGATAGAAAACTTTTATGCTATTATTAGAATGGAAAGGAAACTCTTTTTACATGTTTCTACTTGTCACCATTTAAACTGACTACAAGCTTAAGAAAGCTGGTATTTATTTGATGTCGGTTAATTCCACACTCTTGTAGTACAAATTTTGTGGATAGATGAAAATGAAATTGTAATGAGTAAAAATAAATAAATAGAATTAGTGTGGAGTGCGGCAAAGCATAATCATCTTTATTCCCATTCTAAACTTACCTTCTCTTCTATACCAATCCTAGTCTTGGTCATTAAATTTAGTATTGACAAAGCAAAGATAAAAAAGAGAGACCTTCCTTGGATGCGCACTTTTCTCTCTTCTATACTTCACTAACTTGGTATTTATTCCTTATTTACAAATGTAGGCTTCTTACTTTTATATTGTTAGCTTAAAATATAATTTTATGACACTAGCTTAAAATATAGTTTTAAGTCTCTTGACTATTGGAGGCCAATTTGGGGCTAGTTTTATTATTATTATTATTATTTTGGAGTGCTTCTACTTATTATTATTATTATTATTATTATTATTACTTGAGAAATAGTCAATAGTGGTGTTTGATAATTTTTTTTATTGCATACTTAATGGAACTGATTTTACTTTTACAAGTGTTTTTCTAGAAGCGACCTAAGGGTATTTTCCAAAGCAGAATCACCTTTTTTTTGTTTATATACCATATGTGATATTTATCTTTTGATGAAGATCTTTAAGCACAGTATTACCATACATCTTAACTATTTTTAAAAATAAATTTTAATATATTATTACTAAATTAACTATTTTCAATGGCTTATATTATTATATATATAAATAACTTATTATAAGTTACAGCAATATCAAATTCTTTTAAAAAAAAAGTGACCTTTATGGTTTCAGTCTAAAAAGGCTGTCAACTGGGCCCCTCCTTCCTAGCTTTAGCATAAAACGGGAATCTACAAATGTTGCCCACTACCCAGTCGAACCATGGACAGCTTGGGGGCCAAGTTTCTTAATTGTCTGACCAGGTCAACCCTTTTTTCGGTTCTGTAAAAAAAAAAAAATTTCTCAAAATCATTCAAAACAATAGAAGTCCAGTATAAACTATCCTTAAATTTTTATTAAATTGTTGGGTACGACCCATGCTAATTCTGTATCATGTGACTCGACAATAGCTGAACGAAAATCACCCAAAGTCGCGTGTTTTAATTTTAAGAGGAAGGACAGAATAATAACGTTGTTAGTTACAGAAAGTCCATTGCTGAAATTGGAAATCTACGACGGTTTAGGTGAGGGGGGGGGGGGGGGGGGGGGTTACAAACTAATATTTATATTTGCATTCATAATAATAAAGCGACCACACGTATGATTACTACTATCAAATTTAGTTACCTAATGTCAAAAGTAAGAACATCATTCTTCAATCTTGCATCAACCAAGTACCCACTATCGGTTTAGTAGTCATGAGGAACAAAGTTAACAGCAAACAAAAGGTGAACTTTGTGGGTTCAGTCCAAAAGGTTATCAACTGGCCCCACTTCCTAGCTTTAGGATGAAACGGATATGTACAAATATGACCCACTACTCGTCAGTTGAACTATAGACAGCTTGGGGACCAAGTTTCTCAATCCTCTGAGGACAGTAGAAATCCAGCAGAATAATCCGTTATAAGAGTAGGAAGGATTTACACCATAAATAAAAAGAGGTAAAATTCCTAAACTAACTATCTAACCATCTGTGAATGATATAGATCATCTCTTTCTATGCAGTACTTTGGTAGAATCTTTACTTGTCCGTGAATGATATAGATCATCTCTCTATGTGCAGTATTTTGATAGAATCTTTACTTATCCCGCAAGGTCAACGCTTCTTATGCTGGGCATATCTTATGTTAATAATGTACGATCTGACTCGACAATTAGCTTAACTTAATGAAGTTACCCAAAGTCTCATGTTTTAATTTTAGGAGGAAAGACGAAACGATAATTTAAAGTCATCAGTTAATATTGTGAGTTAGGTAGTCTATGCTGATAATTTGGAAAATATAGGATGGTTTAGGGTGGTGGGGGAATACAAAACACATTATGACCACAGCGCGGACAATGAGTGACATCTAAGGCCAAGTCCATATTTAAATCTGCATTCATATAACAAAGCAATCACAAATACGATTACTATTATCAAATTTAGTTACCTAATGTCAAAACTAAGAACATCCCTTCTTACATCAATCCAGTACTACTATTGCTTTGGTAGTCTTAAGGAGTGAAACACTCTTTTTTATCACACGACAAGAATAAACTAACATCAACCTTTAATTCAAACACTAGCTGGCCAATGAAAGAATGAAACCAAATGAGAGAGAAAACTAAGCATTGAATTGGATGCTATGGATTTGTTTCTCATGTGCCAATAGTTACACAAGATGCAGAGAAAATGGGGGTGCTCTCCTCCTCTCTTCTTCAAATGATTAAGAGAGAATGACAGCACCACCCTAGCAATAATCTCCTATGATCCTCACCCAGGATCACAAGCCCCTAGGTAATTACAAAATTAGCACACTCATCTGTACAAAAAATTAAAAAAAAAACTCACCAGAAATTCCAAGCTCCCAATCTCCTTGCTAACCCCAAGCAAGCTCGCCATGACTACGTGGAGCTTTGTTTACCCTTTACAAATTCTATCTCCACCGTTGCTGTATTCCTTTGTACTACAAAAATGAAGCTAAAAAGATTTTGATCTTTAATCTAAGAGGGTTTTAAATGTCATCGCCTGACATTCTATTTGACCATACGATTTCGATTTCTAGCGTTCTTGATGAAGCATCCTTGCTACTGTCATGGTTCAGACTGAATAGACCACTGTATACACCTTCAGTCACAACTTTGTCAATTTGAATGGTTACTCTTCCAAGGGTTGTCTGCAAGAAGGAAAGTGTTTTAAATAACATTAGCAAACAGATTTCCGATGGAATTCCGTTGAAGTCCCTACTGCTGCACCAAAAACCTCTACATCCTAATGAAACTTGGGTACTACATTTAGGGCTAATTGCGAATAGACCCCCAGTATTATCGCCCAATTACAGTAGGCCCCCTTTGGTTTAGTGTCGCAAATAGAGATCCTGTAGTTTTTTTCACTCTTTTACCCTCAGGTCTATTTGTAGAAAATCTTTCTCTGAGGATAAAAGAGTCTAATTTCTCAGCTGGACTATCTGCAACAATAGAAGTACACGGGGTCTATCTGTAATTGGGCGATAGTACATGGGGTCTATCGACAAGTGAGCCCATAATTTACACTGTTAACATGTCCCTGCAGGTTGAAGATACTCTTCATGGACCTCTGGGCTATCTCATGCGGTAGTGCGTTATGAAATCTGCTTAAAATGAGTGCCCGATGAGATTAAACCTGGATTGCTCTAATAAAATCTTAAAATACTTTCCAATACCACGAAATTCTGAAGTTGAGATGAGGGTTGAGGTTAAAATTCGATACTCTAATAGAAAAGGAGTTGGATCCACATGGTATCTAAAGCCACACCTAATGCACTCATGTTTTCAAATTCAAATTTGGTTCAGCCTCAAACTTATTCTATGTTAGGGTTTGTATTTAGCTTCCAGATTGAAATAAAATTTTCACATTCCTACACCCAAACTGGGTTAAAGCTGAGAGCATTTTCAACACAAAATTTCATTACAAGCAAAGAAATCAGCAGTGTTACCGTAAATAACAACGAAAATGTTCAGACATGCAATTCTCTGTAAATGAAATAATTATGCTTTAGGCGTGGTTTTAGCCGTATTAAATAAGGACACGATTCCACATGCAAATTTCAGGTTTCTGCTAACTAGAACCTAACTGTTCCAATATAAATTTAACGGAAAGCAAATGGTGCTCTACTGTATGCGAATATAGCCAAAAAATTATGAAGGGATTGTCCAAATCTACATGTGTGTGCACATCTTATAATCAAATAAATTATTAGTGCATGTTGTAATGTTGAGATCCAAACAGTAATTATTATGATACCATGTCAGGTTGTGGATCTAGTCCGCTACTGACAACATCGCGTGCGAGCTCTAGAAAACGAAAACAAAACCAAAAGCAATGGAATAATTGCTTACCTTTCCGAATGTACTTTTGCTCTTGCAGAGAATATAAAGCTTCTGTCCTTTAGGGGGGACATCAAATGCCCAAGAAAAACCCTCTTTCCATTCAGGGCATGTACTATGGTTCACAACCTAAAATGAGATATCACTTCAACTTAAGCCACAGAAACAGAAAAATATCTTATAACTGAGAGGGAAAAAATCACGATATTGGCTCTTGCATGGTACCTTAGTCTGTTTTGGAGGCCCATTTCCTATTTTCAATTGGCAGAATGCATTTGTGCTCCCCATTGTTTGCTTCAAGTTATTCCCACGCTTAATGGTCACCGTTAGACACCCAGGCAAACAATGCAACAAGCTATCAGCTCTTTCATGGAAACTAGGAGGACAAGTTTTCATGAGGAGTTGAAGTATGGGTATGGCTTCAGCAGCAATCAGGGCTTGAGCCTTTGCAATATCTTCATTCATCTCTGACCATGATTCTTTTAATAGACAAAGAGTATCCAATACTGATTCTTGTGCACCTTCGCTACCAGCTTTGAGTGCACCAACCAGATGTGGGATACAGAGGGTGGCTGCTTCTGACATGCGAAGTTTCCTGAAGTTGGTAAATATTACAAAGATTGTGCGTAGAATTTCTTCGTTTATTGTTGCTGTTGACCAAAGCTCCTTTTCTAGTGCAGCTGTAAAAAGAGCAAGAGCTTGAAACTTAAAGATATTGAACCAAAATCAATACAAAAAATAGAATAATATTTTATATAAAAATCATATATTAGCAATGAAATTCCAGAACACCTTATATCCACCTTTCTATGATTTAACTCGTGCAATTATGGCCCAGTGTTGCACCTAGATCTTGAGTGGGTATAAAGGATTTGAGTTGGTTGGAATAACCCGACCAAGTTCTCAGATGGGTTTTGGCTTCTAATATATGAGCATTTTGGGCTAGATTAAATTCTTTTTTTCCGTCTTACTAAAGTATAACCATTTAATTGCTTGAAGTTATGCATCCACGATTGAAACGTCTTTTGCAACTAGCTTTGAATGTAAAGAAAGAATATGTAACCATATAATTTTTTTTTCCGTCCATTAACTAATTTGGATGTGTTGAAAAACATGAACGTTGCTGATCATCCATGAGGTGGACCAATAGCGTTTTCACAAAGTTCTCACAATGGAGTTCTCAAATTGGAAAATTTAATAACCACAGTCGTCCTTAGATAGCAAAACTGGGTCTGTTCTAGTTTTGTGTTTCGATATTAGTCAGGTTTAAATTTGGGAGGTTCGATGAATCTTGTTTCTGTAATCTCTAGGTTGGTTATACAGCGTTTGGGTCAACTAATGCAAATTGGAAAACATGTATTCGCTCAAACAAATAATGCCCAATCACTAGCATATGATAGAATCCCAGTGATACAAAGGTGCGGCTTACATGAATGGTCAATGACAATAGTGTACTTTAAGAGACTCGTGTTGTTTGGTATGGGTATTTCCAGTGCATCATTAATAACTCAATATTGACCCCAAAGTGCTCAAGACTCAAGAGTTCAATTCATTGATAAAGTAACTGCTAATGGCAGCTGAGTAATTTAAGGACGTTGGTAGAAGCAAAAATAATCTCAACTGAAGAGAGGTAGCAAGAATTTCAAAACATGAAAGAAGATTAAACCTTTAATTTATTATTATTACAAATATAGTGTTCCTAGCTTCCGCTGCATTGAACGTCAGAAACAATGGATACTTAACATGCCTACACCAACTTATATATATGAGTGATTTTCAGACAAGCCATCATAACTGTGCATTAGTCTCCCAAAATTCATTATATTTGAATATTCGTTGTTACATATAAGGGATCCACGTGCTAAGTTCCCTCGTAACAAGGCATCAAACCCAAAGATCCTTTCAACTTTAACAGCTATATCTTTTGGACCAAGATACTCCATTTTTTCTGATAAGCTCATCTTCCACTATGTCAAACCCAACAGTTAGGTTCCTGCTGCCCTGTTGTACCCATAGTTGTCAGTTGTCACCATCTCTCACTCCAATTTATGGGCCCTTAGAGGAAGACAGCTTAATCAAATGAATGGACAAGTTCAAGGAGGCCACATCACAACTATAATCAGCTGTAGGACCAAAGTGTGAAACTACACCCCTTGCTGACTTCAACCATTTCACAAAGATTTGAATATACAACACACCCTAATCACGTAAGAGATGACCTAAATTGCTAACATAAAATATATCACCACTTTCCCCTATTATATAAGAGGCAGTAAAGCCAGTATACTCACAAAGAGGGTGCTCGGGGGAGCTTATATTTTGGTCAGAGTAGTTTATAAGCTAGCTTTTCTATATCTATGTGCTCGGGAACATACCAAATAAACTAGCTTTTAAGCCCCGCTTTAAAAAGTTGGTGTTCATCAACTTTTGAAAAACTAACTTATAAGCTTATCTGAATAAGCTAGCTTTGACCAAGTAATGACAACTCTACCCAAACTACTTTGATAAATTTTTTATCACAAAAGCTAAAAGCCACCAAAAGCCACCTTAACTTATAAGCTTCAAAAAATAAGCCCTTCCAAAATCTCTTGCAACATGAGCAATCTCAATCATCAAATCCAGCTGCTATAAGCTTCAACCATTCAAATCAAGAGAAATCTACAACAGTCGTGTACGAAGAAACAAAGAATAAATCAAGAGAAATATCGAATAAGAAAGAAGTATTTGAGTCTGCTAAAGTTTTGGATCAAAATTTTCTTTAAGTAAAAAAGCCAGACAGAATTGGCTCCGTGTAAGTAAGAATTACATCTATAGTATAAAGAATATTAATGCTTCAATGAAATAGAGCTAATTGATCATCATGAACTGAATGTTTGGTAGCCATATTTCCTTAAAAGTGAAAACAAGGAGCTACTCATGGAGGAAGTTTCCAGTGTTAATACCGAGACAAGCCAGGGATCTGTTATACTCTCTATCTTTTCATTTCCTCTTCTATCTTTCTCTGCTGATCTACATCTTCTTTATCTCATTCATTCCTTGAGTTCTTTCTCTAGTCCCTTTAAGTGATGTCTTATGGAATATTAACTCCATGTAACATAATGCAAACCTTACTAGTTAGTAACTAATTGTAACATTCCAAGGTGAATATTTGTCGAAGCAATATCCTACCTCATGCAAGTGAAACATTATATATGCAGAAAATACTAAAGAATTTGCATTAACTGGACGTCTATGAACTAATAAGATACAAGGACATGTATAAGAAGTTGTACAAAATGAGAATATTGAGGTGGCTATGTGAAAACTAACAAATCAGAAAGGAGAAACAATGGAATGCTTGGGGTATTAAAAATTAAAGATAAGCAATAAGTGACTAAGATAGTAGCCTTGTATAGCAGTAATCAATTGAAAGCCAGTAAAACTATGGAATACTTAGCTTGTTAGGTGGCGGGTCATGGATGCTGATCAAATGTAAAATTTCATGGGGCAAGATAAAAGATGAAATACCACTAGCCACAGATAAAGGGTATGATAATAAAAAGCAATGCTCCTTAGCAAATCATATACCTATTTTTATTTATAATTTGGAAATGATATTGCAATTTGAATTTATTAGAAAACTATCTAAAGTGGTGATTTACCTGTGAGAGACCTTACAAGCTCAGTGGATACATATTCTTGGAGTGTATGATTTGAAAACAGATATTTAATAAGCAATGCAGCTTGCCCAGCAACTTCAGTATTCTGAGATAGGAGTAACTCTTGTACGAGTAATATTCCTCCAGCCTCTGCAACTGCCCGCCTATTTGTCCTACTGCGCACTACCAAGTTTTGCAGTGCACAAATAGCCACCATTTTCATTTCTTCTGTTGGTTGATCTTCAAGCAAGCTTATTAGGGCACGACAAGCAGATACTGCGTCACTAGCTCTGGCAAGTCCATCATGCTGGAAAAGGTCGCCAAGCGCAAGTGTTGCCAAGAACCTCGCAGGCTGTGATCTAGTCTGTGGATCTAGCAAATACTGGGAGAGAGGAGCAATGGCATATTTGGCAACTTTCATTTCTCGCACTCTGATATTATTGAATAATGCTTCAAGTAGTCTTCCAGCAGCCTCTTCACATTGATGAGATCTCAGAAGCTCCAGAAGTGCATCTATAGCACCAGCCTCGGCCATTAGGACAGCACTTGACGGATCATTCCTCTCTTGGAGAAAGAGGGCACTGAGAGCCACCGTAACAGTGTTTTCCATTGTGGAGTGTAGCAACCTCACAAGAACTACTAATGTAACTTTAAAATAGTATTCTTTATTAGATCGTAGAACATTAGATAGAACCATAGCCGCTGATTCCCATAATGCATGACTAGGTTGGGGATCATCCTGAATAATGACTTTTGAAAGCTCAAAAATGCCCCCTGCATCAGCAACAGCCTTGGGCCAGCTCATAGAAATACTCTCCAATGCTCTTATTGCTGTTTGCTGTAAGCTCAAAATTCCAATTCCAGCCAGCTGAACAAGTGGAACAACTGC